TTGCATCCCTCAAAAAACTGTAACTAGGAGTTTTCCTGGCAAAGCCTGGGTTTTGATTTTTTCAAATGAAGCTTTGTAATGATATTCCACTGAATGGTGCTTCCTTTCTGGATCATAAAGATAAGTCAATGCTTGGTCAATGCTGTGATTAAACTTCTCACCTTTGTTCTTAAAGAATAAAAACTGATGGTAAAGTTCAGACCTGAATCCTATATTTCTATCATTGCCATGTAGGGATCCTATGTTGCACAAATCCTCTGATAAACAGTAACACCAGAACTACACAGCAATGTGACCTACAGGCTTGACAGTATTTTTTTCTTTGAATAATCTGCCAACTGTCTTTAGACACTTCATCATTGGTTTCTATCATAGCTCATTCACCCATTTTTAATCACACAAATCAGCTTCTCTCAGTTCACCATCTCTGTACTTTTTTGGTTTGTCAATGCACAATACTCATGTCAACAGTCATCACTATAAATAAATTTCAAATAAAGGAATTCCTTCTGCTGTCAAAAGCTGTCAAAAAATCAATCATAGTGCACTGCTTAAAGCACAATGATGAGTATTCAGTGCAGGCTTCCATTAATGAACAATAGCAATACAACCTTTTCTCACAGCAACTTCTCATCAACTGAATTGAAAGTGTACATGCTAAAGAACACATCAGAGCTTCTGGTGCATCAGTACCACCATCTGTTGGCAAGTTACAAGAGTGAAGGTACTATTCAACCTTCATATTAAGCAAAATAATAAATAAATCCATAGCTATTTCTCATCAGTATAGTAATTAGTGAAGAAGAGTAACATCCTTTATGATCATAAGCCAATAAATCACAGAATACTATATCATACATATGTAGAAAAGTGAGCAGGTATTTATTTTAAAGTAGTAATACTTCTCATAGCAATATTAACAAGGGGTTTTTGGCCAGAAAAAAATTATTATCTTTAATAATCATGTTTTAATATAGTTTCCCCTGCAAATGGAAAGAAGTGTCCATAGTTAGGACACTTCCTCTCAAATACAATCATAGAGAGAGTCTCATACCTTCTGACATCCAGCTGGCACCAATCACTTAATCAGCTGGGAAGGAGTGTGAATAGCAGACTGATGCTGGAATAGTTGAGGAAAACACCAATTAGTCAACTCTGTCTTTCTTCCCAACACTACATTTGCACTTTAGGAAAGGGAGAGACTAATCAACAAGAGAGCATGAAATGGGGGAGGGTTAGTTTTATAGACTATGCAGAAGATAGCCAAACACATTAAGCACTGTATATATGTAACTAGTAGCATTGACTGCAATAAATATTTGCTGTAAAGGATACAAATTGTCAGTCTGCTCCATGCAACTTGTAATATACAAGTCATTTAAAGGAATTTTAATCTGATTTAAAAAAGAAAAAAAAATGCTTGAAAACCTATTAAGGGTAGAATAAGTATACTTTAATATATTTTATTTAGTTATTACATGATTATTTGGGCATCTGGGCACTAGTATGCATTTTCCTTTATCATATTTATGTTTTAATATCATCTTTATGACACATACCTGGACAGATAAAAGAACTTATTAAAGTGACTTTACCTCATTTTATTTATTTTGAGGAATAGCAATTTTTCAACCCAGAAATGAGAACATAATTATAATAAAATAACCTACAATACTATTTATAACTCATAATATTTTATATTTTTAAATTATAACACTATTTTTCCTGCAATAAATGTTCTAATAGTTATCTAGTACTGCAGAATCCAAAAACACAGAACATCTCTCTCTCTCTCTCTCTCTCTGTCTTTCTCTCTGTATGTGTGTGTGTATATGGATAGATAGATAGATAGATAGATAGATAGATAGAAAGATAGATAGATAGATTAAACAGCACTTTATATACTTAAAAGGGAACGGACCAACTACCCTTTGAGGAAAAGCTATAAATACAGTCCAAAATACAGTAGTCCAAATACAGTAGTCCTATCATACCACCTGTGGCTACTATCTGCCACGCTCATGAGTTCATCGAAGCCTGGCACTCCACAAGCAATTCTATCAACAGACACATTGATCTACAACTAGCCTATGAACCCTTCAGAATCTAAATCAACCACACAGCCAAGCAGGGATAGCACCGACCCTCAATCAACCCACGCAAGCCCCTCCCAGCAGTTCACCTTTCAATGACCATGACCTGATGTAACCTCCCCATCACAAAATCTATCATAAGACTCACTGATGACTCATATCTGACCCAGCAAAGACCCATCACAGACTCACTTTACACACCCACACCTGAAACCCTTATAAACAGAAGAACATTGTCAATGACATCCCCTAAACTCTGCTGAAGATGTTACCTAGCCTGGTGACAAAATATTTGGAAACCAACCCACAAGCTCGTAGAATAACCCTTCATCCTCATCCTACACCAGAGCTACAGATATTTGCCACTACTGTAAACAATAGTCTTATTAAAGGAGATCATGATAGAAATACACTTGCATTGTGGCAGCACTTAACCAACCTTGGATGAACTCATCCAAGGCTAGTTTAATGCTGCCACATGCTAAAGCCCAATATTTCTTAATCATTTAATTTTTTTCCAGCTTAACAGCAAATTAATGAGCTTGAAATATACAGATTAAATATTCCATATTCTTTGAAAAGTAGATTACTCAGAATAGTAGTTTACATTTCAGGATTAAAGTAAGACTGAGTGATGTTAAGAAAAATGTGTATTTATCATTTACTAATAACAATATATTTGCTAATGGAAGTTCTTAACATTTGTAAAATATATCTGTCAAGTATTATTAATAATACAGGTGTAAAACTTATACAAGCAACTCCTACAATGAATTATTTCAGGAAATAATGCTGTCCATTTTCCTTTACATTAAAGCAATTTATCCTTCTATTTTCAGTAAAAATGAAATTAAATACTTTTATTATTTACCATATTACCATTAAAATGGCCAACAACCCCCCCCCCAGTAGGGAGACAGAATGAAGATAAATCTAAAATTTTGGACTTCAGATGCCCACTTTTCAGGATCTAAGACTGAATTCCTTTCACTCAGTTACTTATACAGGAATGGGGGTTAAGAAAACACTAACAAAGTATATTTAATTACTACATTATGTTATCATTTTAAAATGTAACTTGTGTTTGCTGTGTATTTGGCTACCATTATGACCTTGTCAGATTATTCTATTAAGGAAGAAACAATACTAGACACTATTTTTTATTTGAAATTATTATTTCTTATTTGAAATTATTATCAAAATCTCAGTATACTTATAATACTATAAGATCACTGATAAGATTACTGACATTTGTGACTATATAGGAGCACCTAGATTTTACTGGAGATAACATATAAAATAGGTTTACAACTTGTTATAAAAAAGCCCAACTATTCTTGCTTTAGTCTCAAAAGTCATATTAAAAAAGCAGTAACTATTAAACTAACAGAGCAACATAATGTAGTATAGTGATTAAGACAATATTTCCTAACTTTGGCAATTTCCAGATGCATGGCTTTCAAATCCCAGAATTGTACTGCCAGCATGGTCATTTATGAGAGTTCTTGGAGTTGAAATCCACACACTTATGAGTTGCCAAGTTTAGGAAACACTGGCTTAAGGAATTAGATTGGTACGGGAGAGACCTAGTCTATCTTCAGATCTGGAACCTGCCTAGTGACTTTGGGCCAGTCAATCTCTCTTCCCACAATTTATGTCACTGAATTTGCTGCCAGGAAAAATGATAGCAGTTCTGTAAATGATGCCTTGGGCTTCTGTATGAAAGGCAGGATGTAAACCAAATGAACAAGTAATGCTAAACTCCAAAATGAAATTTGAAATACATAAAGATTTCACATTTATCTATCTTCTTTAATATGGCTATAGTCTCTGTAAATAAACTTGCTTCCAAAGGCATAGATGAAAAATCCAGAAATTTGATTTTTGTTTTTTGACAATTTCTACCTGCTACACTTAAGTTTATGCACAAAGGCAGGTGGTTATGGTATACATTTCTTTCCTATCAGCACCTTCCATAGTTTTATGGATCATCTTAGAGCAACTAAGATGATCGAAGGCCTGGAGGCTAAAACATATGAAGAACAACTGCAGGATTTGGGTTTGCCTAGTCTATAGAAAAGAAGAAATGCGGGTGAATTGATAGCAGTATTCCAGTATTTGTGGGACTGCCACAAAGAAGAGGGGGTCAAATTATTCTCCAAGGCACCAGAGGGCAGGATAAGAAATAATGGTTGGAAACTAATCAAAGAGAGAAGCAACCTGGAATTAAGGAGAAACTTCCTAACAGTGAGGACAAATAACCAGTGGAACAGCTTGCCTTCAGAAATTGTGGGCTCTCCATCACTGGAGGTTTTTAAGAATAGATGGTCACTTATCTGAAATGGTGTAGGTTCTCCTGCTTGAGCTGGACTACAAGACCTCCAAGGTCTATTCCAGCTCTATTCTGTTCTTACATTCTATATACTATGATAATAAAGAAAAGGAAGGGAAAACTACCCTATTTCATTCTATTAGCAGCTACTGTAAATGAATACCAGAAACTGGTAGTTTCAGTACTAAGGGAAGAGAACAGCGCATCATCAGACTCAGGGATTTCCCTCTGTCACATTCAGGCTCAGGAAGGTTCCAATTAGTTATTCATAAACAGACTACAGACTTCCTCAAAATCTGGGACAACCAAGCATGCAATACAGCAACACAAAACACTCTTTTTAAAAGAGTCATTGATTTTATACCAAGGCTACATAAATACATTTCCAATCAGCCATTCAATTTATCTTCTGACTATTTTATCTTCTTTTATTCTACTATTTATCTTCTATCATTTTCCAGTACAAACAAAAAACAAGTCTCATTGTCCAGCTTAGAAAAATGTATTTAAACACTTCACTTTAGGAAGAGAATTCCACATCTCCAATTTATTTAATAATTGAGCCATTAGCTTACCGTTCAAAAGTCAAAACACCACCCTAAAATGAGAAATAGAAGGAAAAATAAAAGCTTTGTTCTATAACTCACAACAGAAATAGGCAATATCCTGGAAGTTATTTTCCAAAGGCATCTCTAATCAGCACCGATAGGCACAAAATATAACAATATTTTACCATCTCAAGAACACCTTCACTCCCAACCCATGCCACTAAAGGGCATCCTTCTAGAAGCATTCCTCTTCATCTATACTTCTGCTCCTACCAAAGTGACTACACAAATGGCAGCTCAAGGATATTTATCAACCCAAGAAGCAACAATGAGAAAGAACAGCTACTGTCTCTCCTCACTCATCCTTTCTCCCCTAAGGGATCAGTTAGGCTCATTCCCAACTATTATCCAGTCCAGTGCGAGCATAAAAGATACAAAAGGCTGTGCTCTTTATTGCTATCTCTTCTGCAGAACCTCCCAGGCAAGGAACACTGGTAAGAAGTGGCCATTTACAGCCACTTGCTCACAGGCGATCTCTGAAGAAAAAAAAGAAATGTAATCGGCTAGTTCTACAATATTGCTCAGGGAGAGGAGAGCAGCTCCTCGTACCCATTTGGCTACTCTTTCCCAGGTTGGGTGACCGTTCCTTGATTCAGTTGCTCCTTCCACTCACTCGTATCTTCTTCCCGGTGGTGCAGCTGGAAGGACCGAACACGTTGGGCCCATTCCCAACTGCCAGTGCCATCGAAAGATAATGTGGAGGCGTCAGTCCTGGTTGCTCCGCTGCAGGCTTGAGCGGAGGAGAGGTGGAGGAAGCTACCGGAGCAGCGGCTGCTGTTTGTCCCTCCCCCCCCCAGCAACGTAAGTGGGAACGTGGGCCCACCACGGGCAGGTTGCCGAGGGCTTCCACCCAAGACTCGTGATCGTGACTTCCCTACACGATCCTTCCTCTCTCCACGCTTCAAACGCTCGCGGCTTTCCCCCAGGGTGGGAAGAAGGGAAGGGTAGATTCTCCGAAGTGTCTTCCACCGAAAGCGGCCCAGGGGCGGTGTGGTTCCCACTCCGCTTCCCTCCGCCGGGATGGGGAAGACTCGTGGGCTCGGCGCAAGGGAGAGAGATCACGCCGCCCGCTCAGCACCGTCCAGCAAGGTACTTTTCCGGAGACTCCCGGTTGTCCCTTCGCGCCCCAGGCAAAGCCGGTATCTCCGGGGGTGGGGGGGCGCCTCCTCCTCCCCTCTCTCTCCCCCAGGTTATTTACGGACCAGTCCCCAGCGGGAGCGGCGAACTCGAGGCTGCGGCACTGAAGAGCCTCCCGCCCGCATGCGGCAACCAGAGCAGCGCCCAATCCCACCACCGCTACGGTCGCCCGCCAAGGCAGCTTTGCCCGCGCTGCTTTCTTGTTTTCACCTCAGCCGGCGGCTGCCCGAAGCTGCGAGCCCAGCCCGAGCTCCGAGGGAACTGCGAGAGAGGAGCCGGCAAGCGGCGCTCGGGGTCCCGGTGCAGTGACGGCGGGGCCACAGAGGAGAAAGGTGGCAGCGGCAGCAGCGTCGGCGGCGCGGCGCCCGCGGCGGGTACACCCTGCACGGAACGGCCTGGCGGAGAGCCCCAACCCCTGGCCACCTCTGCCCCGCTTCCCCGTCGCGGTTCGTTACCTGTGAGAACCCCGACGCGGATTTGATGGTCGTGGTTCGTTAAAATCATCCCCTCCGACGCCATGTTTCCCAGCGCAGCCACCGCACTGACAGGGAGGCGGGTGGGGGGAGATGGGGGGAGAAGGAGCGCGAGAGCGAGGAAGGGGGAGGAGGGGTGAGGGAAAACGGGCGAGGTGGAGCGAGGGAGGAGGGGCGGAGCCAAGTCTCGAAAGAGGCGGTCCTGGGAGCGCGCGCGGTTAGGCCGAACTGCACTGAGGGGGCGGGCTGGGAATGGGAGAAAGGCGGAGCCTGGAAAGGTCAGACGAACCAGAGCTGCCCAAAGGAGGAGCCAAATGCAACGCGGGCGAGATTTTAGCGAAAAGAGGATTCCTTAAACGCTGGGTTCAGTCAAAAGCAATCGAATGCTGAAAACTGGATAGGCAGTGGCTTATTTTATTCTGCTTCGGTCTACTCCTTCAGATCCGATTGGGTGGCGAGAAGAGCCGGGAGGTCCTGTTGTAGTGGTGCGGAGGGAATACGAAGTTGATGGCTATTTTATTTTTTGCGCAGAAAACGTACGAATCTCGCCCGTCGGCAGATTCCCAGTAGCTCTTTCCATATTCGTGAAACAGTAAGACTGTTTGGAGGGATCGCGTCCTGTCTTAGCTGGAATATGCCAGTATTCGGTTGCGTGCACTTACACTGCACCGACACATGCATCAGTCACCATTTTTACATCCACATGTAATTGACTACATCGCGAAGCATTGGCATATACCGCACTGCATTCATACGTGCAAGCTGCTGCCTGCACCTATTGCGATTGACGGTTATCCGGTTCTTCTGCAAACAGGTTGCATTTAATTCACATTACACCCACGTTTACTGCTCTATATTGTATGCACGGCATATGCACCCCATGGGAATTTCTTGGTATGGCAAAGCGTAAAAAGGCAGTGAAATGGAAGAAGGTCTATCTTCGGGTAGAAGCTATTTGAGCATTTAATTTGCTTGTCAATGCAAACCTAATACAACGTGTTCTCTTACTTTCTGTTCGCATTCACTGCCTCGTATGAACCTGCCACTGCAGTTTTACACACCTGCACGGCTTGTAAATGCATACAGCAAATAGTACGTAATTGTATTGTACCATATTTTATTTATTATGCATAGATACAATCTTCGCTATCACATTGATAAATGCCATGATGTGAGCACGGAAATTAGCATTACGTGACAATCCAAACTATAACAAATTGCCCCCAAATACAAAAATATTCCAAAAAAGTCCGCAGATTTTAAATAGATACATCTTTTCATGAACATGTTTTGGAGCATTTTTAATTGCTGTTTCACTAAGGTCAATAGTTGCACACAGACTAGATAAAATATAAATCCTTTATGCAACAAAAATAAGTTAGAATAAAAAGAGTAAATTTTTACAATTGGACCATAAGCTTTATTTTCAAGTCTAATAAAATGCAAAAGTTGTATTAAATAGTTAATAATTTATCTGATTTTTTAACACTGTATTTAATCTTACTTTGTTCCAAGAACTTGGAGCATAGCAACATAATTACACATAAAAGGAGAAAATGAAGTACTGTGGCAAAAGATGTCAAACATCAAAGCAAAAGCTTAAAACAGCATGAGGAACTCCCACATGCAGAACACAAATGTATCTCCAGCCATTAAAAAAAACCCACTATACATCAGGAGCTTATCACAGTGGAACCTATCACCAAAACAGAATCCTTTTCATACCTCCTTATATGAAGTCCATATAATATTTGTAGCCTAATACTCTGTGTGTTTACTTGAAAATCTGTTTCATTATGTTCATTGAAGCTTATTCCAAGGTACATATTTATAGAATCCTAATTTTATAGGTACATATCCAACGTGTTGTTCCCTTTCAGAATAAGTAGTGCTGTACAAAGCACAAAAAGGCAGTAAGCCAAAGCAATTAAAGGCATGAAATAAGAAAATCTATTGAAGCATAACTTTGTCTTTTCCTTCCTCTCTATCCAGTCACTTTTTTTCAATAAATTTGTTTTATTGTTGAATTCTCATTCATTCTCTCTTTATGGCCAAACCATCTCAACATTCGACTTTCTTACTGATCACTCACTTTATGTTCACTCCACATTTATACTGGATCCTATTTCCTCTTGTTTTATCCACACACATAAGTACCTCATTCCCACTGTATTCAACTTATATTTATGTTTCTCCTGATGTATCAAAGTTCATATTTCCATGAAACATTGTGAGCATTAATATACGATACTACAGAGACATTTTTGTTTCTTTCAAGTAAGACCGATAATAGCAGACTGCACGCTATCCATCTATCAGTGTTTGCGCATCTTAAAAAATTTCTCTATCCATTTCCCCATCTTTAGTAAACATTCCACCGGAGTACATCAGTTCATCTGCTCAACTCCACTTTGGTTGTCAAATTCACTTGCCTTGGTCTTTGATATATATTTATAGTAATTTTACTAAATATGGTTACAGTATTAACAAAAGAAGAATTTAAAAAGTAGAACATGCATAAAAAGAAAAAACAGAAAAATAAAAGAATATAGTAAACAAAAAGAAAAGATATATATAAAGAAGTGACTTCCCATATTATCACAAGAAGTATGAACAATTTGAGTAACTTATTACTTCCTCTTACGATATAACAATATCCCATATCTCAACTCTTATCTATAAACAAACCCATAAAGTAGTAGTGGCGAACCTGTGGCACGGGTGCCAGAGGCGGCGCTCAGAGCCCTCTCTGTGGGCACATGTGCCATCACCCCAGTCCTAGGCCTTCAACTGGGCTTTATAAAACCATTTCACTTTAGGCCTCCACCGCCGTGTGCCAAAAAAAAAAAAAAGGTTCAATCAATCAGTCAATTTCAACTTCTCACAGGAAAAAAAAAGATCTTGCAAAGTTGGAATTGATTGAACTTTTTAGTCCCACCCAGTCTGCTGTTACCACCATAGCCACGCCCACCCAATGGGCCATACCCACCCAATGGGCCACACCCACCCGGCACCCGACGATGTATAAGTGGATTTTGGGTTGCAGTTTGGGCACTCGGTATCTAAAAGGTTCACCATCACTGCCATAAAGCATTGTTTTTTCAGTCCTGGTGTCAGCAAAATATATATTTTAACCTTGATCAAATAAACCAACTTTATATTCTTCTAATAAGCTTAGTCTTCAGTTCATTCAAATAATATTGTAAAACTTGATATCTTATTATTTTTTCTTTGTCCTTTCTCACAAAATTCTTAAAAGCTATAACAAGCCTCTTTAGTGAATCCAATTTAGGAAAAATATTCAGGTCACTCCTTAGTTTATTGTTTGTATTATTAACTATTAAAACATCAGCTGGTTTCTTTTGTATGTCCAACGTAATATATTTTTCCATATGATTGTTTTATTCTGTCATTTATCAATTCATTTTCAATTCAGGTAATCTTGATTTGATCTTGTCAGGTAAAATCTTGTTTCTCTTCCATAACATCTTCTAGAGGCAGATGTCTCTATTGATACTGATGATAACATTACTTATTACTATATTCTTCTCTTTTAATTATAATTTTCAGTTACCTTTAGTATCCCATTTTTAAAATTTACGTTTTTTTAAAAAAAATCAAAACAAAAGCATTTTTTCACAAGAAAGATTCTATATAATTAATTGAAAAATCTTCTTTCAAATTTACCTGGACTCCAAAATAATTAAGTTTTTAAAGGTCTATAAAAGTAATGTGGGGGGAGGGAATCTAATTTCTACTACAAATGCCTCTACTGAAATTTTTTTATATGCTTTATTTTCATAATATTCCCTAATAGACAAAATAATTTTGATGTCCATATTCACACAAAATATCCTATAATTCAAGCATCTTCACTTTTATCATATGCTTTCTATAAATTGACAATTGTACAAAATTGTACAATAACTTTCTTCTTCAGGTACATTACTGAGTCATCTGTAGGCAATCTTGGTTAACAATGTCCAAAGCTATGGACAACTCATACTTACAAGTGGATTGCCTACTACTACTAAAAATGGAGTTCTTCCTTGAGCCAACAAACTGATGAATCTGCGCAATGTTTTCATGAGTCATTACAAACAAGCTATATGTATATAAATGTGCCATTCAGCAGGTCATAAAAACATTGCACAGCTTCAGCAGTTCATTGACTCTAGGAAGGACAATACTGTCTGCTATTTTTAGTAATAGACATCCCATTAAAGGTATGTCTTCCACCTTACATATAAAGTTCACTTAAAGACAGAGTTAGCAATGGAACTCATTCTCATTCTTATTCTCTGCATTGAAATGGAATAATCTGATCTGCACCATCCATGCCAAGCATAAGCTACAGTGCCCTTCCCAAATATTGCTTATTGTTAGCCCATTGTTATCTTTCTAACGGGATCAATAATAGCACTACTCCAAACATTAGACATAGATGCATTCTTTATGCACACATTAAATAAATCTCATTGGAATTCTATAAACAAGCCACATGCTACATAATTGTTCAATAATGTCACGACCCATGTCATTGTGGCTTACTATACACATCTCTAAGTTAAAATATTGGACATTAATTCCTTAAATCAATTTTACACACTTTTATTGTTTTGAAGAAATTCTTGCTACTTTAAAACTTTCTCCTTTTGAAGATACAAGTCTTTTGCCATCAATAGTAGCAAATAGAATTTTATTTCTTTTCATTAGTGCATATTCAAATTTACAAGATTTTTACCTCACTCAGTTATCACAGTTGATTATTGATAGATTTCTGTTTTTGTTTTTCAAATAAACTAAATGGCTCAATGGACCATTAATGCATAGGCAATGTTTATTTCATTTATTGCTATAAATTTAAAAAAAATCAAGTGTTACTCACTAAAACTAGTAATATCAGACTTAGCCATCACATCCAAGATCATTCTGCCAGTTAATTCCAAATAAAACTGCTGTTAGCTATCATTTTCTTAAAATAAAAATGCCTGAAACAGATGGCTAAATGTCATATTCTTGACAAGCTGCATCCCCCAATAACTCCAGCTATTATGGTCACAATTAAGTATCTTGCTCTATATCCATTTCACAG